CTGTCGTCTCCACCCGCATCTCTCTCGGCAGCTCCAGATCCATTTGTCCTACAGTCTACTGGACATCTCGCTTGCTTGCCCCACAGCAGTTCAAACTCAGCATTTCAAGAATGTGCTATTTCCCCAGCCTTCAACCTCCACCCCCAGATCTGATGTGGCCCCTCTTTTTCCATAAACGGAGATGACTTATCTACTAAGTATTCCATGTGAGACACCTGGGAGTCAGCCTTGATTCCTCTCTTTTCTTCATCACCTCCACCTTTCACCCTGGTGCCAAATACAGATTTACTCATTCATTCATTCATGCATTCATCCATCCATTCATTCATCTATGGAAACTTTCAGCAAACATTCATTAGAATGGCTGCACGGTATGTTGAGTAAGAACACTAGAGCTTGGAGTCAGCCTGCCGAGCATCAAACCCTGGCTCTGCCACTTACGTAGTTTTGTAATTTTGAGAAATTTGCTCCCTGGCCAGTGTGGCTCAGCTGGTTGAAGTATCATCTCATAGACCAAAAGGTTGTGGGTTCAATCCTCAGTCAGGGCACATACTTAGGTTTGTGTTTGATCCCTGGTCAGGGCACATATAGGAGGCAACCAATAGGTGCTTCTCACATGGACGTTGCTCTCTCTCTCTCAAATCAGTAAACATATCCTTGGGTGAGGATTAGTTTAAAAAATTTGCCTGACCACTGTGTTTTAGTTTTCTTAAATACATGTAGAGTGGGATTAATAACAGAATCTGTCTCACAGGGAACCAAGAGGATAAAGTGGGTTCCTCTGAGTAAAACTTTTTTGAAATATATTTTATTGATTATGCCATTATAGTTCTATTTCCCCCCTTCATTCCCCTCCACCCTGCATACCCCTCCCCCACCATCCCCCTTTAGTTTATGACCATGTCTCAAGTTCTTTAGATTCTATATTTTCCCTACTATTCTTGCCCTACCCCCTGTGTATTTTCTACCTACCGTCTATGCTACTTATTTTCTATTCCTTCTCCCCCCTTCCCCTCCTCCCACTCCCCTGTTGCTAACCCTCCATGTGATCTTCATTTCTATGGTTCTGCTCCTGATCTAGCTGTCCTCTCAGTTTGTTTTTGTTTTAGGTGTGGTTGTTAATAACTGTGAGTTTGCTGTCCTTTCACTGTTCATCTTTTTTATCTTCTTTTTCTTAGGTAAGTCCCTTTAACATTTCATATAATAAGGGCTTGGTGATGATGAATTCCTTGAACTTGATCTTATCTGAGAAGCACTTTATCTGTCCTTCCATTCTAAATGAAAGCTTTGCTGGATAGAGCAATCTTGGATGTAGGCCTTTAGGTTTCATGACTTGGAATACTTCTTTCCAGCCCCTTCTTGCTTGTAAGGTCTCTTTTGAGAAATGAGCTGACAGTTTGATGGGAACTCCTTTGTAGGTGACTGTCCCCTTATCTCTTGCTGCTTCTAGGATTCTCTCCTTCATTTTAATCTTGGCTAATATAATTATGATGTGCCTTAGTGTGTTCCTTCTTGGGTCCACCTTCTTTGGGACTCTCTGAGCTTCCTGGATTTCCTGGAAGTCTATTTCCTTTGCCAGATTGGGGAAATTCTCCTCTATTATTTGTTCAAATAAGTTTTCCACTCGTGGCTGTTTCTCTTCCCCTTCTGGTACCCCTATAATTTGGATGTTGGAACGTTTAAAGATGTCCTGGAGGTTCCTAAGCCTCTCCTCATTTTTTTGAATTCTTGTTTCTTCATTCTTTTCTGTTTGGTCATTTTTTTCCTCTTTCTGGTCCACTCCTTAGATTTGAGTCTCAGTTTCCTTTGCATTACTATTGGTTTCCTGTGTATTTCCATTCATTTCAATTAGTTTAGCCTTCAAATGTTTCTCTAATTTGTGACTAAAATCAACCAGTTCTGTGAGCATCCTGATCACCAGTGTTTTGAACTGTGCATCTGAAAGTTTGGCTATTTCTTCATCGCTTAGATTTATTGGCTCTGGGGCTCTGAGTTGTTCTTGAGCCATGTTTTCATCTGTTTGTGCCTGTTACGTATGAGGAGGTGTTCACCAGGGTGGGGCGATCCAGGCCACTGGTTTGTGATGCTGTATGTGGGGGTGGGGTCAGAGAGGGACAATGGCGGTCCCTTCTGCCACTTTCTGTCACTGGGACCTTCATGGTCTGTCTCACCGCTTGCTCCTTCACTGGTTTATCTGTGCTCGAATGTGTGACCGTGGTCAGCCCTCAGTGAGTCCACTGCCTTGTGACCTCAGTGGGTCCGCCCGCTTCTCCACACCTGGGATTCGCCCATGGCCACCTGCGTGCCTGGGTCGCACGCCCGGGTTGGTCCGGTGGATCCTTCCTGCCCGACCCTGCTCTGCTGCTGGCTCTGCCCCTCTTACCAGTTTGGCTGAAGGGTTCCTTGTTGTCAGACTTCCATATAGTTCAATTTTCTGTGGTTTGGCTGCATTTTTGTTGCTAAAATTTTGTTGTTTTTAAACTTGGTTGTGTGAGAAGGTGCAGGGCTTCCACCTACGCCTCCATCTTGGTGGAAGTCCTGAGTAAAACTCTTAAAACTCAGCTTGGCTGTGAGTCAGGTCTGGCCAGCCACCTTGTTTTATAAATAAAATTTTATTATAATACTGCAAACACACACACAACACAGCTTGACACAGAGTGAACAAAGAAATGTTAGCTGTGGGTAGTTATGTGCGTAAATACCATAATTATTCTGCCAGAAGACCAGCCTGAGTCAGTGGGGGTGTGTGGGTTTGCTAGAGCTGCCACAACGAAGTACTGCAGACCAGGTGGCTTAAGGGAAAACATTGCCTCGAAGTTCTGGAGGCTACCAGTCCAGAATCAAAGTGTCGGCAGGGCCTTGCTCCCTTTGAAACTTTCAGGAGAATCTTTCCTGGCCTCTTGCTATCTTTGGCTGGTTTGCTGCAATCCATGGCATTCCTTGGCTTGCGGCTGCATCACTCGGATCTCCACCTTGCTCAGAGCATGGCATTCTCCCCATGTGTCCCTATCTTCACATGTCTGTTTTCTTATGAGGACACTGGTCATATTGGATTAGGGGCCCACCCTACTCTAGTATGACTTCATCTTAACTAATTACATCTGCGATGGCCCTATTTCCAAATGAGGTCACATTCTAAGGTGCTGGGGGTTAGGACTTCAACATATTGTGTTTTTTTTTCCTTGAGGGCAAGGGTGGGGAACACAGTTCAACCCACAATGGGCAGGAGGTATGACATAGGGATTATGTTTGACCCCTGACATTCTTACCTCTTTTCTCCCTGAGGCCACTCACTGTCTTAATTCCTTCTGTCTTGTCACACCTCCCCACAAGATCCTAGTCTGACTGCACCATCGCCCACCCTCTGTGTGGATGTCAGAGTGAACTTTCCAAAACGTGGACCTGATCATGTGACTTGCTTCTGAAGCCGAGGGAGCGTTCAGGTGCAGGGTCAGCACCAAAGACCCTTCATGCCCCACTTCTTCCTGCCGAGCTGGGCCCTGTGCGCACCCTGAACGTGGGGCTTCCTGAATTGTTTTTCTTGTGTCTTGCTGACATGACAGAGTGCCCTGTGAGGTGGGGACCTCCTTGTATCCCCTATTGTTTGACATTACTATCATTTTTTAATCTTTTCACTATTATAAATAATGTGTGATGAGTATTTTTATGTTTAAATACTTTTTAAAATTTAAAATTATTTCCTTAGGCACAACTCAACTGCAAAAAGACAAACAACCCAATTTTTAAAAGTAGACAAAAGGTCACATAGACATTTCTCCAAAGAAGATAGACAAATAGCCAATAAACTCATGAAAAGATGCTCATTGTCATGACTCATTAGGAGGATGCACATCAAAATCCCAGTGAGATACCACTTCCTCGACACTAGGATGGCCACGAAAAATAAACAAGCAAAAAAGCCAGACGAATGTTGAGAGGATGTGGAGAGAGAAAAACTGGAGCATAGCTACTGGGAGCGTCAAATGGGAACCGGTGGGGCCACCGTGGAAAAGCAGTTTGGTCGTTCTCTGTACTTATACGTGTACCTAGAGTCTCGTAGAACGTAGCACGACCCTTAGGTATATACTCAAAACAATCGACAATAGGCGTTCGAACAAGTATCTGTATACAACTCTCCATGGCAGCACCATGCACTTCAGTCAGAAGGCGGAAATGACCCACATGCCCACACATGGAAGAATGGATAGGCCAAAGGTGGGGTATCCATACAATGAAATATTACTCAACCGTAGAAAGGTATAAAGTACCACTATATACTACAATGTAGTGAAGCTTGAAAAAATCATGTTAAGTGAAAGAGGCCAGACAAATGATTCCATTTACATGAACATCCAGAATACAGAAATCCATGGAGACAAAAAGCCAACTGGTGGTTGCCAGGGGCTCGGGGGGAAGGAAGAATGGAATTAACTGCTTCGTGGGTACAGGTTTTATTGTGTGGTGATGAAAATGTTTTGGCACTAGATGGAATGGTAGTTGCACAATATTATGAATGTGATAAATGACACTGAATTGCACACTTAAAAATGTTTAATTTTATGTTATGTGAATTTGACCTCAAGCATGCAAGGAGTGAATTACTGATACTTGCTACAATATGGATGAACCTTGAAGATGTTCTTCTGAATGAAAGAAGGCAGACACAGAAGGTCCCATATTGTAGGATTCCCTTTATATGAAATATCCAGAATGCACAAATTCATAGAGACAAAAAGCAGATGAGTGGTTGCCAGAGGCTGGGGCAGAAGGTGGGCTGGGGAGAGACCAGCAGAATCGACATTTCCTTCCGGGTGATGGAACGTTCTGGAACTAGGTAGAGGTGCTGGCCACACAGTACTGCGAATGTGCTACATGCTACTGAATCACACACTTCAAAATGCTACATTTTATGCCATGAGTGTTTTACCACACACACGGAGATATTTCCTCAGGAAGGATTTTCTGAAGTGACGCCAGAGCCAAAGGAAGTGGCACATTGCTGAGTTTTTGCAGAGAAAGGGTCATCTCGCTGCCCTCCTACCAGCAACGTCTCAGAGAAGCTACATTGTGTCTTTGCTAGACTTGGGTTTAAAAAACGCTTCACTAATTTGCCATAACACTGTTTCTCTTCGGAAAGTTCCCTGTGCTTCCAAGCTCAGGGTTAAATCAAACGAGTCATTGAGGGACAGAGCCAGAGCAGATGGACGTCCGAGCAGATGGACGGGCCCAGAGAGCGTCTAGGCCGTTGGACCGCACCCTTATCAGACCAATATTTACTAACAACCTAACGATCCTGATATGAAAGCCATAGACAACCTACCTAAAGTCTGTATGATAGAGTGCTTCAGACAGCATGAATTTTGAAGTGAACTTTCTGGGTTCAAATTCTTGCTCTGCTGTTCATCAGCTGTGTGAAGTGGGGTACTTGTCTGGGCCTCAGTTTCTTCATCTATAGCATGGGGCCAATGACAACGTCTCCTCACAGGGCTGTTTTGAAGATTAAATTAGTGTAGGATTACACTCTCGACTGTAAACAAAGGAAGAAGTATAAGGAAAGTAACGCATAAACAATGCATTAGGTAACTTAAACAGTAACTTATGACACAATGCATTTTAAAGTTGTAAATACCTATGTGTGGTTATCCTAGAAGAGATTGAAATGGAACGCTACGCCTGCAGGTAGACTCACACCGGAGGCCGCAGCTCTGTATGGAGATGGACACAGGTGTGTTGCACTTCAAAAACTATGAACGTTGCTCTGGGTGATGTGTTCTTCCAAAATCGATTCTTGGGCAAGTTTTTAAACAGATTAAGTCCCTTGATTTTCACTGGAGTTGCACTGCTGGTGAGTATTTTTAGAAATCATGCTTCTATGTAAAATGGAGTTACATTCCAGGTCAAGATTATTTTACAGTTTTTTCATCTTTGTAAATGGACTGCGGGGCACTTAAAAGTGGGACACAGCACCATTCTTTATTGTGTGGGACATCCCACGTACTTCCGGATGTCTGGAATCCCTGGCCCCCTCCTCTAAATGTCAGTGTTCTCTAGTGGGTGTCTCCACCCCCACCGAAGCTATTCCAACCATCTCCTCTTCCAGACCAGGTGACCCGGGCCCACAGAGGGGACTGCACGTCGACACGTATTACTGTGAATGTTTAACCCCATCCCACCTCCAGCTCTGTGATCGCGGTGGGAGACGCCTTGTTAGTGAGCAGAACTCCAGCCCTGCCACTTTTAATCCACTTCGTTCCTTTCTTTTCTTACCCACCACCCTTCCTTCCTCTTCCTCCTTTCTTCCCCAACACTTAACCCATTTAGCCAGTCCTGTTGGCTGTACCCTCAGTAAGTGCCTTCTACTTGTTCTCTGCCCCCCACTTTTGCCCCACTGAAACCTATTCTTCTCAGAGCTGCCAAGGGAACTTAAAAAAAAAAAAAATCACATCAAGGCCGTTCTCTATTTCAACTGCTCCAGAGGCTTTCCAAGACACCGGAATAAAATGCACACTCCTCTCTGCCGTCCAGGACCTATCTGATCTGGCCACATCTTGCATTATCCTCACCACGCTCCCCACACGGGCCTCACACAGCTGCCTCGGGTCTCTCCCCTGCTGTTCCTTCTGTCTGGACCTAACTTCTCTTCAGCCAGCTTTCTGGAGAGCTAACTTCTTATCCTTTGTGTCTACTCGAATGTCACCTTTTTCGACACCTTCCCCAGCCACCTGATCTAAAATAATCCCATGACCCATCACTCTTTGCCTTACTCTTGTTTGTTCTTTAAAGCACTTACCATGGTGTGAAGCGGGCATGTTGATTTGCTTGCTTCTTCCTTGTCTGTCTCTTCAGGAGGCTGTAAGGGACCCTGGGGTGGAGCAACATCATTAGTCTCACTCTCCATGGGGTCCCAGGGCCCAGCACAATGCCTGCAAGCGCCGCTCATGTTTTATTTATGCCAGCGAATTAAGGCCTGACACACGACTCCAAATGGACCAATGGGAATCCTCACAACGTTTGCAAAGAGGCTCACTCACTCAGAAGTTTTCGCCACCTTTTTTTCTTTTAATCGTATTTGATTGATTATGCTATTACAGTTGTCCCACTTTCACCCCCTTCTCCTCTCCACCCAGCACCCTCCACTCCCTCAGGCAATCCCCACACCATTGTTCATGGCTATGGGTCCTGTGTGTAAGTTCTGTGGCTACTCCACCTCCTGTCCTGTACTTTACATCCCTGTGGTTTTTCCTGTAACTGCCTATTTGTACTTCTTAATCCCCTCACCTCTTCCAGAATCCTCCCACCACCCCCCATCTCAGAACCATCAGATTGCTGTCCATATTCATAATTCTGGCTCTGTTTTTCTGTTTTCTAGGTTTGATTTTTAGAGTCGGTTGTTGCTAGGTATGTATTTATTGCCATTTTACTGTTCATTGTTTTGATCTTTTTTTTTTTTTTTCAGTAAGTCCCTTTAACAGTTCATATAATAATGGTTTGGTGACGATGAACTCCTTTAGTTTGTTCTTGTCTGGGAATCTCTTTTATCTGCCCTTCGATTCTAAACGATAGCTTTTGTGTTCTGCCCGGGGCTACCCTGCCTGAGCTGTAAAGCAATCTGAGATGGCTGCTACTGGTGCTGGCCTTGCAGATTCCCAGGTGAAGCCAAGCTGTGAATCTAAGCTGGCTGCTCCTAGTGCTGGGCCTGGGGCCAATTTAGCAAGGGGCATGGGGGCTGGGGGTTTACTGAGACCTGCTGTTGCCTGTTTGATAGGCAGAGCAACCTTGGCTGTAGCAGCCCACTTTTCATGACTTTGAATATATATCTTGGCAATCCCTCCTAGTCTGCAAAGTTTCTTTTGAGAAATCAGCTGACAGCCTTTTGGGAACTGCCCTGTAGGTAATTAACTGCTTTTCTCTTGCTGCTTTTAAGATTCTCTCTCCATCTTTCACTTTTGGCATTTTAATTATGATGTGTCTTGGAGTGGGTTTCTTTGCATCCATCTTGTTCGGGACTCTCTGTGCTTCCTGGACTTGCATGTCTATTTCCTTTACCAAAATAGGAAAGTTTTTTTTTTTTTAGGAAAGTTTTCTTTCATTATTTTTTTTTTCAAATAGATTTGCAATTTCTTGCTCTTTCTCTTCTCCTCTGGCTCCCCTATGATATATATGAATGTTAGAACACTTGAAGTTGTCCTAAAGGCTGCTTACACTATCCTTTTTTTTTTGGATTCTTTTTTTTCTTCTTGTTCTGATTGGTTGTCTTTTGCTTCCTTATGTTCCAAATCATTGATTTAATTCTTGGAGTCATCCATTCTACTGTTGTTTCCTGTAAACTGTTCTTTATTTCAATTAATGTATCCTTCATTTCTGACTGGACCATTTTTATGCTGTTGAGGTCCTCACTAAGTTCCTTGAGCATCCTGATAACCAGAGTTTTGAATTCTGCATTTGATAGATTATTTCTATTTTGTTTACTTCTTTTTCTGGAGTTTTGATCTGTTCTTTCATTTGGGCCATGTTTCTTTGTCTCCTCATTTTGGCAGCCTCCTTGTGTTTGTTCTATGTATTAGGTAGAGCTTCTTTGATTCTGTGTCTTGGTGGCGTGGCCTAAAGTAGTAGGTGTCCTAGGGTCCAGTGGCACATCCTCCCCTATTACCCAAGCTGGATAGTTAAGATGCATCATTTGTGTGAGCTGAGTACACCCTCCTCTTGTAGTTGAGCTTTGATTGTTGTTGGCAGGTCAACGGGAGGGATTTACCCAGGCCAGTCAGCTGCAAAGACTGGCTGTGACTCCCGACCCCCAATCTCTGCCCTCTGTGGAGGATCAGCGGTGCAGGGGCAGGGTGGTGGTGGTCTGATGTTGCCTGTAGCTGTCCACCGGGTGTTCAGGCTCTGGGTCTCCTGAGTGGTACAGGCAAAAATCAGCCCCACCTGTGTTTTACCTGGGGCTGCCTTGCATGAGCTATGAAGCAATCTGAGATGGTTGTCATTTGTGCTGGGCTTAGAGATTCCCAGGTGAGCCAAGCTATGAATCTAGGCTGGCTGCTGCTAATGCTGGGCCTGGGGCTATTTTAGCAAGAGGTATGGGGGCAGGGGGATTACTGAAGCTGGCTCTTGCTTATCTGACAGGATTTTGGAGGTTGTAAAGAATGAGCCAAGACCAGCCATTCATATGGAAAAGTCACGCTTAATAGTTTGGGTGGGACAGAGTCTCAAGGGATCTCCAGGGGCAAACAGGGTTAGCCAGGCTGATGGAGTCTCAGATATGGCACCTGCCTCCTGGCTCTGTGGCTCTGTGTGGGGAGGACACAGAAAAGAGATAAAGGCCCCTGTTCACCTTTCCATCTGGGACAAAGCTGTCTCCCAGCTCCCACATGGATGCCAGACATGTCAGCTCCTCCCTGTCTGCCATTGGTGCCTTTCAAGCTGCCACCCCAGTGTCGGAGCTCAGAGGGAGTGAGTCTGAGAAAGCCCATGTGCGGATTCTTTAAGGGGAACTGCTTGGTACTCCAGAAATTTCTTTCACCAACTCAATCACCATCGATTTTGCAGCCAGAAGTTGTGGGGACTTATCTTTCTGGCACTGGACTGCTGGGCTGGCCTACTCTTGGTGCTGTTGAGGTCCTCACTAAGTTCCTTGAGCATCCTGATAACCAGAGTTTTTAATTCTGGACTACTTTTTCTTGAGGTTTCCCCCCTGAATTTCTACCTACCACCTGTGGGTGTGGGACCAGCCATTCCATGTCTCTGCCCCTCCTACCAGTCTGGGTGGTGTGGTTCCTTTAACTCTGTAGCTGTTAGACTTCCATCCAACTTGATTTCTGATGGTTCTGAGTGAGTGCTGGTTTTTCTGTATTTCAGTTGTAATATTGATACGGTTGTGCAAGGAGGTAGCCTGTGTTTACCTTTGCCGCTGTCCTGACCAGGAGTTCTTTTGTTTTTCTTTTAATGCTTGGGCCTTAGAGATCAGAAAGTATTTGCAGCTGAATGAGAAGGAAGGGAATCAATCGATGAGAAGGTTAGAGAAGTAGAGTAGAATGATGTAAGTCTATGGAGAACCAGAGACAGAGAAAAAGATGAAGAGAGAGCATCTTTGCAGCAGTGGCTGGTGGGCACCAGGTGTTCTGGGGAACCAGGTGTTCTTTTTGCGTGTGTGTACGTGCCCTTGTATGTCCTGTTCATTAAAGATCAATTTCCTTGAGGTATATTACATGCAACAAAACCCACTGATTTTAAGAATGCAATTTGATGAGCATTAATGACAGTATACAGTTGTGTCACTGCCACCACAATCAAGATATAGAACATTACCTGCCCTGGCTGGTGTGGCTCAGCGGATTGAGCACCAGCCTGCGAGCTAGGAGGTTGCCAGTTCAATTCCTGGTTGGGGATCATGATTGGGTTTCGGGCCAGGTCCCCAGCGGGGGATGTGTGAGAGGCAGCCACACTACGATGTTTCTCTCCTTCTCTTTCTCCCTTCCTTCCCCTCTGTCTAGAAATAAATAACATCTTAAAAAAAAAAAGAACTTTTTCTTCAACCCCAAAGCAAAACCTATTTTTTGAGATACCCCATAATTCCTTTGTAAAAAACAGCTTTGTTGGGGTGCAATAAACCACACGTATAAAAAGAGTGTAATTTGGTCAGTTTTGACATTTGTGTACATCTGTGAAACCATCACCATAACAGAGGTAGTGAACATCTCCCTCACCCCCACAGTTTCCTCCTGTCTCTCTAACTCCTCCTTCCCCAAGCACCCCGGAATCTGCATTCTGTCACTGCCGATTAGGCTACATTTTCTAGAGCTGTACATAAACGGAACCACACAGCATGCACTCTTTCATCTGGCTTTTTTTCACTCCCCATAATTATTTTTAGATTCATGCATGTTGTGGGCAAGTATCAATAGTCCATCCTTTTTTATTGCTCATAGTGTTCTAGTGGATGGATGTGCCACGGTTTGTTGGCCTGGTCACCTGTGGGTGGGCAGTGGGGCTGTTTCCGGTGTGGGATTGTTACAAATACAGCTGCCGTGAGCATCCACGTCCAAGTCTTTGTGTGGACATGATATTTCTTTTGCTCTTGGGCAAATAAATACCTAGGCATGAAGTGGTGGGATCATATGTTACCTTTACTTTATTCTTAATAGTATATTTTTCTTTTTTGCTTAAGCCAATCAATTTAGGGTTGCTCAAGGTCCCTCAGCAGGACTGGGACTCAGTCCCCTCCCCCTTGGTCCCTTTGGTCCCCTTGACCCCCTCGGAGCTACCCCTCCTTGTTCCCGTGCTGATCACGAGGCCGTGGAAGGCTGAGGGCACACCTTACCTTCCTGCGCACGTCACATCTGAGGAGCTGTGCTGCCTTACATAAGCTCACTGACCTCTTGCTTCTCTCCAGAGTCTAGAATCATGGAATCATTTGCAAGCATGTGCTCGCTGCCTCTGGGCTGGAATGTTAAGTGCCCGTGGAGTTGTCTGGCTTAACAGCCTTATCGAAATATGTCTGTGGATGGACAAGGTCAGTTGCTGACTGTGAGGAAGGACAGACTCAGATGAAAAGACGCTCTGAGGACCAGGGAGCCACAGGGATGAGCTGAGAATGAGGCTTAAAGACAGCGCTTCCCAGGCAGATGCTTTTACATTTGAGTTCAATTTAATTCTGAAAAAGGCGTGCATTTTTGACGGTTCAAAATTCAAGAGCTAGGGTGGGTATCCAGCACTGTGAAAAGTCTTTGTCTTACCCATGTCCCCGGTCACTGAGTTCTTCTCCCCAGGGGCCCACCACGTACCTCCTCACCCCCAGTTCCCTGCCTGTTCTTCCAGAGATGATTTGTGTATACAAGTACATATTGTATGTGTGTGTGTATATATATATTGAATGTAACACTTTTTATACAAGTGCTAGCAGGCGAAACACATTGTTGTACATTTTCTTTTTTTTTTCACTTGACGTATCTTAGAGCTTGGTCGACAGCCCAGTGGGAAGAGCCTGCGCACTCGTTTTTTGTGTTTATGTAGTATTCTTTCATTATGCTTCTTCAGCCCGTCGAGGCAGCATTTGACCACTGGCATTCGTAGGACAATGGGATGACGGAGTGAATCATTTTAGTTTGTACAGTAAATAATGACCGAGTTACAGGTGGATTCTCTTGGCCAATGCACTGTAATATAATCTGGGCGAAGGCAAACTGAAAGGGAAGGTAACATTTCTAAGCACTTCGCATGCCAATGAATTCATACAGAGGTGTTTCTTAAAGTCTGGTTTCTTGAAGAATTACCAGGGGAGCTAATTAAAGGAAGGCTTAGCAGGCTCTCCCTTCCTCCACTGTCCCAGAAATTCTGATTCATTGGAGCTGGCGGTGGGGAGAGCGCGGAATCCTAACAAAGGCGGTCCACAGACTCAACTGCGAGGGAGAGCGTGCTCTGCAGAGGGCAGAGCTCTGCACGGAGCGGGTACCTGAATAGTTCATTAATTCCAATTATTGAAATAATTGCACTCCTGTATTTTTAAACCTGCAAAGAATTCATGAATAAGGAAGCGATTTTTTTTTTCAAACAGCTCAGAAGGATACGCAGTCTCCCCACCCCTCCCTCCTTCTTAGTTCTCTCCCTAGAGAAGAATTTCCTGTTATTCATTATCTTTGAAGAGACATGGGTCCCTATCACACTGCAGAAACGCCACTGTGACTGAGGAAGAGGGCCTTGTCCTGAGTTAGAGGTGGTGCAAAGGCCTGGGAACAGGAACACACTTGGATGTGGGAGTCCAAGGCCTTCTTAAATCTCAGCGGTGCTCTCACTGTGTGCCAGACACCTGAGCTCAGGATTTCCATAGTTACCTCAGCTCACCTCATAATGACCCATTTTGCAGAGAGCAAAACTAAGGCTGGCAGGTTAGTGATTTGCCTATGGGAGGTGAATCACACAGCTCTGGGTATAGAACAGGATTTCGAACTCAGGTCTAGAGCCATTGTTCTTAAGCGCTGTTGGAAGTACTCACCACTTAGTGACTAGACAATTTCGGGACAAGCTGTTAACCACTCTCAGATTCTTGGGCCTCTAAACACTTTATGGAAACTGCTTATTCATTGTCCTTCTCAACTGCCTTTGAGCTCTGTGAGGACCTGTCTGCCTCTTGTTCTCCACTGTAGCTGCACCGCCTTGCTGTCTGCATGGACGGTGGGTGCCCAGCGAACTCCTGCAAAGGGGTCTGGGGACAAATCCGGGCTAATTCCGCACACGTTGCAACTCCTCAGCCTGCTAATTGTCTTACAATGTTTTGATTTTTAATAAATATTTTCTAATATAGACTGATACATGCTCAGTGCAGCTCATACATTTATTTTATTTAAAAGTCTAAATATGCATAATCACCAGAAAAAACCTCTTAACCTTTTTCTGATCTTTGCTGCCTATGTTTTATATATATATATACACACATATATAATATAGACGTAATAAGTACATATTATATATATCATGTGTAATGTATATCATATGTGATACACATATAAAACAGGCAGGCAAAGTCCTTATGTATACACAACTTATATATAATGCACATGTAATACGTGTGTCTGTATATAATGTGTGTGTGTGTGTGTGTGTGTGTGTGTGTGTGTATCTGTGTACCCCTGCCATGTTCCCTCTGCGAGCTGGGCTGAGTAGTCTCTACTCACAGGGCTCCGAGGAGGCTCCTGAGGGATTTTTGCCAGCGCAGTGCCACGCACACACTGGCTTGTTTTTCCTGCCTGGCAGCAAAAAGATGGCAGCATTGCAGGGTATTAGAGAGGGCCCAGGCCGCCAGACCCACCTACTGCTGCTGGGTCTGCAGAGTCACCAAGTGGCCTCCGGGCTACAGCAGGACTCCATCCAGGAGGCTTCTATCCAGGAGAGACATTATGTCCCCAAAGGACCCACATGTCTGATCCCTGCGGCGTTTCTAATGCTCACTGTAAACAAACATCTTGACCTCCTGTTTGTCTCCAGTCTCCTCTGAGTCAGGTTAATGTGGGTCAGTTTTCTGGAGATAGGACACCTCTGTGGCTCTCACAGGCTTTGGTTTCTATCTCTGCAAAGCGGACCCAGCGTGGACACCTGTGGGCTTCCCTGGTAGCTTTGTGGTCCTCTCTCTCTCGGCTCCTGGAGCTCCCCCAGATATGGGGCTGCAGTGGGTGATGTGTCTGTTCAAACTACCTACTGTGTGTCCCAGGACAGGGTTATACGTCTCTGCCCCGTGGAAGAGGAGTGTCCATTGGGCTTGATCTGGTCAATGAAATGTGGGTGCAAATGGCCATGTCACTCACATCTAAGCAGATGTGTCAGGAGCTAGCTTGCGGTCTGCCACCTTTTCCAATTTTCTTTTCTGCAAGTACAGCCATGTCCCCGAGAGGGGCCGTTCTACTGGCCTGGAATGAAGGCAACATGGAGTGGAGAGAAACTGACCTGTGAGGGCATGTGGTAAAGTGAGAGGTAGACATTTTTTAGAGAAAAAGATCGCCTGAGATTTTGGAGTCGTTTGTAATTACAGACTCACCCAGCCCATCCTGCCTCTCTGATGAGTGACCTTGGACATGGCACTTGACCTGTTTGAGCCTGAGTGTCCTCATCTGTAAAATGGCGACAATGGTGCTCACTTGAGGATGTACATAAAACAATAGTTTAAGAGCACTTAGCCTACTTCCAGGAGCTCGGTTGCTGCTTAAAAACTGTCAGTTGAATTTCAACATAATCAGCAATTGGAGAGAGGCCAGATACAGGATGATGTATGGAGACCTTTCATGAAAAAGAATGGATAAGCCCTGGCTGGTGTAGCTCAGTGGATTGAGTGCTGGCCTGCAAACCAAAGGGTCACTGGTTCTACTCCCAGTCACGGCCCATGCCTGGGTTATGGGCCAGGACCCCAGTAGAGGGCATGTGAGAAGCAACCACACATGGATGTTTCTCTCCCTCTTTTTCTCCCTACCTTCCCCTCTCTGAAAATAAATAAATAAAATCTTTTAAAAAAATGGGCCCTGGCTGGTGTAGCTCAGTGGATTGAGCGCGGGCCTGGGAACCAAGCAACCACGGTTCGATTCCCAGTCAGGGCACATGCCTGGGTTGCAGGCCAGTTCTCTCCCTCTCTCCTTCCTTTCCCCTCTAAAGATAAATAAATAAAATCTTTAAAAAAAAAAAAAGGAATAAAATACCAATGTCCACAGTAGCACCATTGACGACAGCCAAAAGGCAGAAACGACACAAGTGCTGTCAACAGATGAACAGATAAACAAAATGTGGTAGATACATATAATGGAATATTATTCAGCCCTGAAAAGGTAAATAATTCCGACATGCCTCAACACGGATGAGCATTGAAGACATTGTGCTAAGTGAAATAAGCCAGACATGAAAGAGCAAATTATGCATGACCCTGCTTACAGGCGGTACCCAGAGAAGTCAAATCCTCAGAGACATAATACAGCGGTGGTCTCGGGGGCAGGTTGGGGGGCAGTTACTCTTCAGTGCGGGTGGACTCTGGGTTTGGAGATGTTCAGTGGTGGTGGCGGCACAACGGTGCGGATGTACTAATGTCGCTGAACTGCACCTTGAAAGACGGTTAAAGTGGCTTATTTTATGTCATGTATATTTCATTGCCATCAAGAAAAGCTGGGCAAAGCTTCATTTTCGCTCCTTTTTTACCATACTTGGAGCTCTTTCTTGATACAGACTACCAATTTTGATCTTTTTATTTATTATTTTTATAACACATCACACATGATCATTTTAAAAATTAAAAAAACAGATAAGCATTAAAAACTACACATATACTCATGTAATAACCACTGTTAATGGTTTGCTGTATCTCATCCCAAACATTTTTCTAGGTATTTATGCATATAATTACACACACATTTATATACAGTAATACACACTTGCATTTGAACTGATTATAAATTTGCATGAAATCAGATTCTAGTATATATATTGATATACATATATATACTGATATAGAATCTGCTTTTTTCCTACTAAATGATAAATATGTGGAAAATTTTACACACTAATGAGTATAGTCAGCCTTCTGTATCCATGGTTTCTGTGGATTCAACCAAATGAGGTTGAAAAATTAAAAAATAATTATGTTGTGGTTGGTGTGTATGCATTAGGGCTATGGCTCTTGCCTCTGTGATGCACGTGTATGGGCTTGTTTTTCTTGTCACTGTTTCCTGAACAATACAATGCAACAACTATTTACTCACGTAGTGCTGACATTGTACTCGGTATTCCAAGCAACCTAGAGATGATTTAAAGTACATGAGAGAATGTGCATTGGTTATATACTGGTGCTCTGCCACTTTATATAGGAGACTTGGGCACCCTGGATTTTGGTATCCATGGGG